TTGTTTTTTCCCAGTGAGTACCCGGATGTATAGCAGAAATCTAGACTAGTTCGCGACCTCTGCTGCGCAATTCGTAAGCGCATCAGTCACTTTTATGGGTAGTAATAAGGCGTATGGTCACATTGATCAACAAAATGAAATACAGTTTTCGAGAAAATAAGGAAATGTAGGTATCTTTGTAGGTAGCATCGGTAATGGTGACGAAGATTTGATAAGTCACTTGCTTGGTAATTTTGCGATTTTCGCTAACACTATTTTGACTTGCAACACAAAGTAAACATTTCACCTGAGCATTGCTTTTTTATAGTGTGTATATTTTTTTACTGTCAAAATGTGTAACATTTTCAAATTTATTAAAACTGACTAAAAAACATTTCCATTTGTATAATTATGATAACGAATTCCAAACATTTTGATGTTTAATGTCATCACCAAGAGACTGAAAATGTTACGTTGAAAAGTACATTTCTATGTTGTTTGGCTTCTAATCCTACATAATAATCTGTTGTGATGTTTGTAGGCCCTTTTGATCATCTCAATCAATATGGACAAAATGACTGAATTATTTACACATTTTATAAATTGTCTGAGAGAATCACATTTTACAAATTGACGGTAATATATACACGCTTACAAAGGAAAAGACCTGTGAAAACAACGTCTATCGTGCATTGAAGAATTTCCCAACGAAGACGTAGAGAAACAAGAACGAATCGGTTCCAATGAAGGAAAACAAAATGCAAATACCATAATTGCAACCTACCAAATTTATGTGTATAAACTTTAGGAGCTTCCTTGTTCGAGGAATGTATCCGTGAATATCCACACAAAGGAACAATATCCCACTCGTCTGCAGCTGTACAAAGAAACATATTCTATGTCACGTGTCTCCGTAACAATCAAATATTTTAAAAGATATATATCGTTTCGGGATATTATAACCCGTGTTCGTTTCTCAACTGATCACTTGGATTGTTTCAGGTGTTTCACATAGGTGTCAAGTCTCAAGGGTCGGCTGAGAAAGCCCACGTGACAACTATTTTCATAACGTCCACGGTTCCTAAAAAATCCATTGAGTGACAGATAACAGTCTGTTGACAACGACTTCGCGGTGCACATGCTTTGCAAATCCTGCAATCAAAATCTGCACGACGGTTTACGAACCGGATTTCGATTTCGTTGCGCGAATTTGATTGGACTGGATAGACTCGTTAGTCCAGCCAAAATGTAACTCCATAATACCAGCCTAGTTCTCAAGGATGGAAACTGGACTTTTATAATAGTCAGTTAACTCTCGAGCTCTTGCCTCGGGAAGATGAACACTACAAGGCTGATAACAGTCGCCAAAGCATAAATAAAACTACATACATAAAACATCAAAACGAAATCACATTAAAACTGAAAACATTTTGTCTTTCAGAAATCGATTATCTATATTGTGAGTAGATCTAATTACTTTTACTGTTGATGTTATCAATTGAACCATTTGAGATTCTAATGGATGAAGCTAAAATATTAAAAATCTAGGTTGTTTAATATTGGATCCATTTTGACAGCTTAAATTTTCTCACTGTGAAACAATACATTCCCTTACTCCTTTATTATTATTTTTTTGGGGGTGTGGGGGTGGGGGTGTGTGGGGATATCAAGCCTTCAAACAGATATGAAAAGCACGTCCACATCCCAAAATTAGAAAACTGCGCCAAATATTCTAACACTGTTAGTCAAATGATAAGCGGTCTCATTCACTCGTCGGTCGCCGTTGACATTTTCCAACCGTGATGTACTAGATATGCTTTCTAGTTCTGTCAAAAGAATATATTATTTGGAAAATGAAACCACGTGTATCCATTATACTACCACAACATTAGATCAGCTGTTTCATGTGACGTCATCCACGTCACAACACGCGAGGTCAAATCACGCGCACCTGTCCAGACGACAAATTCACAGCCGCGAGATTTCACCGACCGTCTGTAAGCCTATTCGAATAAAATTGCAGATTGTAACGAAATTAAATTATGTTTACTCATTGCTGATATTTCAGATGACATATCAAATAAGAGTTGAAGACTTGCAATAGATTATCATACGTTAATCGAGAGTACAGTGTACATCAATAATTTGTAAATCTAATATTAATATTAGATCTAATATCCATGGCAGAATGTTGGAAATACGAGATGATAATATATTAAATTTTCTGAAGAGATTAATAATGTGTATTTGATGATATATGTGCATACACAATTAGTTATCAGTTTTCTTATACAATACACCATGTACCATGTACATTAGACTACTATTTCAGCAAACCAATCACAGCGCCATTATCACAGTTTCAATGAAAGGAAAAACAAATCGAACTTAACAGCACAGCGTATCGATAAGCGGTTAACCCAATACAAAAAGGTATTGCTGTCATCATTGAAGAAGTTATGTTGATGTTTTCAGAAGTTGCATTATGTTTGTATCGCGTGTACCATCGACAGAAACGGGGGCCGAGCTACCACATGTGGAACTGACCTTGACACAATTTGTTTACAATAAGGCGTCGACTCACGTTAGATGTCGTGGCCACACTTTTGAAATCTCCATTTTCGACAAAATGTGAAACAGTTAGGGCAAGTCACTCACACGGGCAGGTAGTTTGAGCAATCACACAAGACTCTTAGTCATTTCATATGAAAAAAGTAGCAGTTATTTGTCTGAACGGGCGAGCATGTTGGACAACCGGCAAACAAGAAATCGCGGTACAGATATGATGCGAACGTGCCCTGTCGATCACTTAAAAAAAAAATCGGGGTTGGCCATTCAATGTTTAGGTTTTGATCATGAACTTCCTGCCCATAAATATACACTATACCAACTTAATATTAACGATTATAGCTATCTTAAATTTCCATATCTTTGATTTGAATATTTTCTGTAAATCAGCATCATAAACAAAAAGACAATCTGCACTGTCGTTTCGTCTCTAGCGCCGTGCTAAATCGCCATGACACACAGTCGATAAACATATGCAATAAATTGAACATAAAAACTTCCGTGGCCGACTAAACGTTAGTACTCTTAAAAAATTACGCCAGTAACTGTATAAGTGGGGACAAGTAAATCTTTCTGGCCAGTCCGATCAAATTTCTTTTTCAAATTGGCTGTCTGATATAATAATAGTTACCTTTATGTGACATGGGTGCATAATAAAAAAAATGACTTCATTCGCATGAAGTTCAACACGGGGAGCACCTTAAACAGTACCACAGCTTCTCTTGAGGACGATCTCTGCCGTAGGTCACATGTCACAAGACAAGCAACCAGTTTTAGTGAGAATCCGTCGGACTACGTCCACACTGTTAAACTTATTGCAAATTTACCTAGTCATGCCTATGACGTTACGGAACTGAACGAAAAGGGTCGAATAGGTGACGGACACTTACGAAGGTTACGGGTAGGCATGGTGTCTCGTGACTTTAGTCTACGGACACTTACGAATGATCCCGATGCCATTTGGTAAACTCGTCCCATTCCGTAATCTACAAGATACCGGATGGTGAGGAATGAGCCGATATGCCGCGAACTGAAAACGGCTCCAGGCGTCAGACGTCAGACGTCGAACTCGCGAGTGCGCATGAATGATAATGGTATTTAATAATTCGTCGGGTGATTTTTGTGACAGAAAAGAGTGGTAGGGAACACTGTAAGGATGATGTGGATAATAGTAAGGAACGATGGAGGAATAAGCATGACTAGTGACGACACAACGGTGAGTTCGCTTTTGAATCAGTACTGAAAAATGTAGCCGATGAAAGTGGCTTGTGTGAATGTTCCAGGACAGTTTCCAGTAGCCAAAATATTCGACACAAAACCATTTCATCCCCTTTTACTCGACGTTTTTGTGGGAAGAATATAAGGAGCCGCTATACAATCTATAATAGCCGCTAAACGAGTACCTAGTCCCTCCCTAATGATCGTAAAGGGGTGATTGATCGTAAAGGGGATCCAAGGGTTAAGGATAGACTTAGGGTAATCTAATAGCCACTAAACGGGTTCCAAACCCTAAAGATCGTAAAGGGGTGATTTATCGTAAAGGGGATCCAAGGGCTAAGGATAGAGTTCGGAGTAACCTACCCTAACATTGGCGACATTTGGATGTGTTCAGCACCACTAAATATCCCTAACAAACTACATTCTTGTGCATAATAATGAAAATTAATGCACCGAAAAAATAACATATGTATATTAGTTCCCATTTATAACCCTTTTAGCCACTTGAATTTCGAGAAAAACGAAATAAAAAATATATAAAAAATAAAAGTGCTTTCGTAAACTGCGCCGCCGCAGGCTATATTCAGTAAACAAATATTCAAAACTCTCCACAGCGCTTGGCGTATTCAATGACATTTCGTGTAGAGATGATAGATCACTGGGGGGAGCTTATGCACACTCGATGACCCCTGACGTCACAGGGTATTGTTTCGCCGGTGTGACTGGCAACAAAATACTACAAATTACGTCATAGGGTATGATCACGTGTTTGAAAAGTTTGTGGTACTGTATTCTAAAGGTAGGCCAAGTAACTTATATGCATACCTATTGAAATGAAATGCTAAAAGAAATATATCTCGGTACAAATAATGCAGTTTGTATTTGTTCTGAAAGCATCATTCTAAGCACTTATTTGTTCTTCCCTGCATACTAACTCGTTTCATTGCGGGAGAAGCAAACGCCTTACATGGCCTATTGTATTCACTAGAGGTCTCCATGTTGAACTGTACATGGGTTATCTTCCCCTCAATTTTCATAATTAACGCGATAATCTCAAGAGGATTTCAGTTATAATAGATAAAATATCTGAATGATTCTGAATGTATTTGAATATATTGAATACGATGTGAGCTGTATATTTATTAGACTTTACAATTAGTACAAATAAGAAACAAAATTAACTAATGGTAAAAAAGCAGAGTTATTATATAGAGTACATCACGTTCGTTTTAACACATTAGTCTACCGATGTAAACAACGTGAAGCACACAGCAGTAAGTAACAGCCGATTTCCACCTAGACAGCCATGTCGGACAACGAGGTAGAGGAGGTGTCTTTCCTTCCGGGTGAGTGACTACATTCTAGAAATCTGACCCCAGATATTAGGTGTTTATTTTTGTGATGAGGACGGAGCTTGCTGTCTGCAACGCCTGTCGGTGTCATTTTGACAGTTGACATCCTAACTGACAAAAAAAGTGAGCTCGTTATAATTTCTTGAATTGTAAATGAAGTATGCTTAATCGAAGTCTGCACATCGGAAACTGCTAAACAATGAGAGATGTGTCATCCGTACAGGGGCTTGGAGGGGTAACTCGGGTACTCGGGTCGGGTGGGTCCTGAGTACGACCCGGAACCCACACTGACAGTCTCGGGACGCAGTATCATCGTTGATACAACAGAATGCATCGGTTCAGTGTTTTTGTTGTATATTTTCATCAAATATAGCATAACATGCTCAAACAGGATAATGACTCATTGTAACTTTCGGGTATTTAAGGTACTTTTTCATGTTTTGTAACAACCACTTACTGAACATTACTACCATGTTTAACCCTCATGGTGCCTGGACGTCAGTCAGCCTGCAAACCGCTCAGTGCCGCACTGTGCTGACGTCGCGGTTACAAAAACGTATACATTGTATCAAAAGTGTTGCAACGTCTTTATTTCTTCACACAGTGTAACCAAATTGTAAAACATGCAACACGAGTTGATTGTCTTTCCAACAGTATCTAAAGTCACCAAATCCAAAAGATCTATGCACTGCCCAGCCATCAATAAAAGTGCTGGTATTATAAGTTTCCTACTTTTCCACATTAATCGTAATATGGAAGCACCCGAATATGGCAAGCAAAGTCAAGTAAGCGCCCTTGTTTGAAATCTAAATGACCAATGATTCATATCATTGGCAAGAACATGTCCTTACAGTGATAGACATATGATATTTATGTTGAAGTACACATTCACTGAGTATTTTCTGTGAGTTATATTTACCGATAAAAAATCCCGATGAAATTGTGCGTGTTTTTTACGTCAAAACAAAATTGACGGAAGTGGTCGTGATTAATTCATACGCAGACTGTTTCAAAGGTTATGTCACAAAAGGAATGACAGTTTGGAATGTATATATTGAAGAAATCCCGGTTACGTCCATGTATGTTTCAATGACCGTGCTCTTTTATTAGTGATAAAAACTTCGGGGTAATTGACATCGTACATTTTCAAAGGACAAAATGTGAAAAATCGCTAAACAGCCCTAACAATACTCAAATTGACATCGCTCAATATCGGCCATCATTGTTATTTCTTAATAATTAACAAGATTATACTAACGTAATACCACCCAAGAGTAAGTACATGTAGATTCAATCAAAATTGTTGAAACGTTTTCATGGGCAGCAAATCTATTCAACAAACCTATTTTCGATCACTCGCAACTCGGGCGCCATATGTCATTGTTTCACTATGACCACCAGAAAACATACATCCTCGTATCAGCTCGTATTTCGCACTTGGCTGCCTAACTTAGACCTTTGCTCAAAATATACTTGTATGGCCAGACCATGAAATACCACCTTTTCTTTCATTTAGTCATTTGATTTATAAATACGACTTTAGAAGTGTATTTACACCTAGCTAGGTATGTACATGTACATTTAAGGACATATGTGATAGTTTATTTCCACTAGTTTCCCATTACATCCCATTCTACTAAAGGAAACGTTTGAAATAGATAATGATCGTAGGTCAATGAAAGTAATGGAATTATTTGTCATAAAAGAAAAAATATATTCTTGGTATTGAACTTCGAAAATTTAACCAGCAAAATCTTTAATAAAAATGGTTTATTATGTCTTTCCTTATGTCTTGGCCTAGCTAAACTACAGCTTGGAGGGAAGATATACAAATTAAAATGGTGAAAAAAACCCAAAAGAATGCATTGATTTTGCTCTTAGACAAATATTTACTTAAAAAAAAATCTATTTCATACTTAGGATACAGAACAAAGTAGAATCTAATTACTACTATGTCACTGGTCGAAGTATTTGGTAATTAAGATAATGCAGAGTGAAAAAAGACATAAATATAACTATATAAAACCTCAAAACGAAATCACATTTACACTGAAAACCTTTTGTCTTTCAGAAATTGATTATCTATATATTGTGAGTAGATCTAATTACTTTAACTGTTTATGTTATAAATTGAACCATTCGAGATTCCAATAGATGAAGCTAAAATATTAAAAATCTAGGTTGTTTAATATTGGATCCATTTTGACAGCTTTCTCAAATAAATGCACATCAAGCCTTCAAAGAGATATGAAAAGCACATGTCAACATACCAAAATTAGAAAACTGCGCCAAATATTCTAACACTGTTAGTCAAATGATAAGCGGTCTCATCCACTTGTCGGTCGCCGTAGACATTTTCCAATCGTGATGTACTAGATATGCTTTCTAGTTCAGTCAAAGAGAATATTGTTATTTGGAAAATGAAACCACGTGTATCCATTATACTAACACAACATTAGATCAGCTGTTTCATGTGACGTCATCCACGTCACAACACGCGAGGTCAAATCACACGCACCTGTCCAAACGACAAATTCACAGTGGCGGGAAATCACCGACCGTCTGTTAGCCTATTTGAATAAAATTGCAGATTGTAACGAAATAAAATTAATTTTACTCATTGCTGATATTTCAGATGACATATCAAATAAGAGTTGAAGACTTGCAATAGATTATCATACGTTAATCGAGAGTGCAGTGTACATAAATAATTTGTAAATCTAATATTAATTTTTGATCTAATATCCATGGCAGAATGTTGGAAAACGAGCTATAATATATTCCATTTTCTGAAGAGATTAATAATGTGTATTTGATGATATATATGCATACACAATTGGTTATCAATTATCTTCTACAATCACAGCATATACCATGTACATTAGACTCACAGAAAATACTATTTCAGCAAACCAATCACAGCGCCATTATCACAATTTCAATGAAAGGAAAAACAAATCGAAATCGAACTTAACAGCACAGCGTATCCAAATACAAAAAGGTATTGATGTCATCATTGTAGAAGTTATGTTGATGTTTTCAGTAGTTGCATTATGTTTGTATCGCATGTACCATCGACAGAAACGGGGGCCGAGCTACCACATGTGGAACCGATCTTGACACAATTTGTTTACAATATGGCGTTGACTCACGTTAGATGTCGAGGCCACACTTTTGAAATCTCCATTTTCGACAAAATGTGAAACAGTTAGGGCAAGTCACTCACACGGGCAGGTAGTTTGAGCAATCACACATGACTCTTAGTCATTTCATATGAAAAAAGTAGCAGTTATTTGTCTGAACGGGCGAGTATGTAGGACAACCGGTAAACAAGAAATCGCGGCACAGATATGATGCGAACGTGCCCTGTCGATCACTTCGGGCTTGGCCATTCAATGTTTAGGTTCATGAACCTCCTGCCCATAAATATACACTATACCAACTTAATATTAACGATTATAGCTATCTTTCCATATCTTGAATATTTTCTGTAAATCAGCATCATAAACAAAAAGACAATCTGCACTGTCGGTTGGTATGTAGCACCGTGCTAAATCGTCATGACACACAGTCGATAAACATATGCAATACTTGAACAAAACATTTACGTGTTTGTGACATGGGTGCATAATCAAAATTCGCCGTCATTCGCTTGGTGTTCAAACATGGCACAAAAAGGCCGAGAAGAGCGGTAGCCACTTTACTAATCTCCCCATATTTCGCAATCCGTAGCATTGTATAAAGTAGGAGTTACACGATGTTAAAGCTAAGATGATTGGGGTGATGATGGTTATAGTTTTGACTTTGCGCACTCAGTGTTAAATATCAGAATTCACAGTTTAAAAAGGGCATTTTCTCGGGACCATATATGGTCCCCTGGCACTATGCGGGTGTGAAAAGTGAGGGACCATATATGGTCCCGTGGCACCAAGAGGGTTAAAGGACTGGAGTGAGTGAGTTGGGTTTTAACCCTCTGGATGCTGAGTTTTTTTTCTGACACACATTTTCCTAAGATCGGAAAAGTGAAGGTTGTGCGAGAATTGCTCTCACGCAGCACTGGATCTACCTCTGGCTATAAAATTACGCAGAGGTGGAGAATATTAAATTTCCTATTTGATGGTGTAAAGTTAACTGCAAATATTAAACCGGTTTAATTAAAATACACTTCTAAGTGTTGCCCGAGAATTTTTTCAGCTCGAAAAACAGTAAATTTCTCCGCTTTTTATCGTACACTGATAAAAGTACTGTGCGACGATTTTTTTTATTTACAAGCTTTACGGAATCTGAGCGAACAAAATACTGCGCAATATCTGAACGACATAACTATATATGGAGTTATATGCGTATGTATAACGACAAACATGCAATGCTAAAAAATAGTTTGCAGTAAATGACGAAAACTGATTTTTCTCTATGACGTCAAAAGGCGACAGAGATGTTACACACGTACAAAGAAAAGGGTGCATAACTCCGCTAAGCTTAGCACTAGTTTATTGTAACTCAGGTCACTTGGTGAGAATTAGCTGTGGGTAAGGATAATACATTTTCGTGGTGTTTTGTTCACGAGGAACCAAACTATTCCAACACAAATATCGATAAAAAAAACTGTATACGTTTAGTTGTTAAAAAACCCCATAAGAAACGATGAAATCGTGCTTCATAAAAAAGTGGTAATAGAGAAATGGATGGCCCTATCTAACCTATAACTAAGTCCTTAGATTCCAACATTCTCCTGAATGTGTAAGTGTAATTTGACTAATGTTGCACCATTATTAATGGAGCACTAGCCTTATCATCAAATGTAATGAAATACCAAAAATAATAACACCGTTCTATTTGACGTCATGGCTGGTTTTATGTCTTTCATAATGTCAGAGAAAGACGACACTGGTATTTTGATTAATATATATCTCCCCTAATTTTCGTTCATGATATGGAAAATGTCGATGTGTAAAACGGAATTTGAAAGCTCTATTGGTATAGTATTATCAGGA